CAATCCAAGTCCTGAGAGTGGGAACCCTTTTCGTGTAAAAATCTTGCTGGCGTGGCGGCTCAAAATTATCAGCACTATCCCTGGTGCATGCAGCTTTGGGGACAGTACTCTCCTCTGTTTAGGGTTTAGGGTTAGCCGGGCCATCCCGACCCTACACTTCATACAATTCTCATTTATATAATGGAAGCAGATTCTCTTCCGAACCTAAGAATCAAATAATTTTGCTCTTTGAAATTTATTCACACGGTTAAATATTATTGTAGGTTTTAAAAGAAAATAAAAATTTTAATTGCGAAATCAAATTTTAGAAGGTAAAATTATTTGATCCCTAAGCTCCGCATGCGTAAGTCCGGAAAGGATCTGCGCCCATATATAATGAGCAAGAGCAGCACTATTTGACTTGTTTGGACGGCTAATATCAAAACAGATGGATTAATCTAATTGTACAAGCTAAGAACAAGTTGAGGCAAAGCCACCAAAGATGATTGAAAATTGATGATAATCCTCTTTCTAAACATTAGTTTATTCATTCGTCGACATGGTCACTCATGGATTTATATACAATTGGCATCAACTAAATAGAGATTTGGATCACAAATTAAAGCTGAGTGGTTGTCACTTTGAAACTAGTCACTCACAAATTAACAAACCAAAATTTTAACTTGTCACCATTGAATTTGACACGATTGGCCGATCGATGATAAGATTTGTACCAAAGTCTAGCTCATTTAACAATATTATCTCCTCTTGTATTAGTGTGATTTGAAACTTAACCATTGATATTTTTGGTTTTGTAATTTGAAACTCAACCGTTGATAGTTATATGACATGATTACATATACACATGAGTTAAAACTTAAGCTTGTAATTTCGTTTTCTCAAGTGATCTTGTTGGACCGGAACAAATCGTCTTTCAATTCTCCAACAAATAATCATGTAGTTTTGCTAAGAAGCAACATGAATGACACTATTGCCATCAACGAGAGGGCGAGAGGAGTATTTGCAAGAAAATACTCCATCAACGATCAAATTAGTGGGTGTTTGATATGATTGTAGAAGAATTTTAGAATAATTTCATAAGTACACCCTCTAATAAGTCTACTTAAGTTCCATCATTATACTACTTACGAAATATATGTTATAGTCGTTGATACATCATTCTACAAGTGTGCGTTTAATTCATCCCTAAAACACTATAACAATGAAACAATCACCAAATTTATTTATTATACGTATTTTACTCGTTGAATCTCAAACCCTAATAACTCACAAAGTATTTTATACTCTGAAGCACTATAACATAATACGATATACGATCAAAATATCTGATTGGAATCATAAAATGAAGACACAATTAATTGTCGCAGAATTAAGTATTGTCGTCCAAAATATATGAAGTAACACAATTTACTGCCGTTGAAAAGGCGGTGTCGCCATCGTACCTATTGGTTTCTCTTCCCCTGATGGCAATATCAAGCAAGTTGTCCTCCAGCTTACGACTCACCCTTTTCTGAGCTTTCATTCTGAACCGCTGGTTCCTCACCCCACAACATTCAACTTGATCTGAATTTTCTTAAATTCTTTGTCCTTATGAGGACCAAAATCAAATAAATAACAAAAACAAGAAAACAACTCCTGGGAAATATAAAAAAAGGGAATAAAATCCTGAAGGGAATAATAAATAAATTAAACGACACCCATGTTCTTATAATATTATTTAGACAAATTTAACGAAAAGATCATAGTACTATTCATTTTAACAAAAAATCACATTTTTAAATCAAAAAGTCAATCCTGGTATTATTCACTTTACCCTTTAGTTTTTGTCATCGTTAAAACTCAAAGTTTTCAAGACATTTTCATTAGTTTCCCTTATTAATTATTGGAATTGGATCCCGGATCCACCTTGTAGGAATTTTAGGAATCTTCATATCTTAACCATTTATCGGGTATTGTGCGGTTAGAAATCATTTGATTTTTTTATTTAAAATTAAAAATAAATAGTATCTGACAAAAACTGACCGTACGATATACGATGAACGATTAGGATGTGGAGATCTCTAGAATCCTCACAAAATAGATACAGAGAGGATCCCTTTTCTTATTTATTAATTAAATGAACGAAGATATTATTTATTAAGTTATTAGAGTAGGGAAATGGACGCACAAGGACCCACTATAGACCCTCGCTTGGAATTTCAATGATAATTGGCTGCCTCTCTTGATCAAAATGTAAGCACATGTCCATTTTGTGCCTAAAATGACCAAAAACACCCTAAGAATGTTTAGGGTTCAATTGATGTTAACTCAAAACATTTACGATGTGTAAGGATAAGTATTAGGGTTTTTGGGATCTTTTGTTTAAGGATATGTAGTTTTGATGTTGGTAAGTGAAACCATTACTTTGCTTAAGCTTATAAAGAATGACAATATGTCAAATAAACAACTAAATTTCAGAATTTTTATATACAATAAACACGTGAATGGAGATTTGACTGCACGCTTAATCTCAATATAAGCTAGGTTTAGTTAAAATGGATCATTTACATACACGGTACACCTGAATGATCTTGGATCGTTGACAAGTGTAGACCTATAATGCAAATTGAGAGCACGTTAGTACTATTCATTTAAGCACGTGCAGATTACTCTAAACCCTTAATCACGCAACGGGACTTTTATCACACTAGCATTTCTAGGTTCATTTTCTCTATGGATTAGATATATAGACCAACTTAATTGTTATACCTATTTAGGGCAAAGGCATTATTGGTATTAAACTTATCATGATAGATGGGACATGGATGCACTTGGCTTTCTGACTTGCAATATGTTTTCATACAAGGCGGAATTTGTCGTTTGAAGAAGTTGCTTAAACAAAATAGTTGCATGAAGTGATCGTCTACGGTACGTGCAGTGTGAGCAATCATTTTCTTGCATTATTGTATGGAAAATGGGAGTGGGATTCTCTCATTCCAAATTTCTTTCTCCTCCTGTCGTTTTCTATTTAAACGGTTACAATTAAGTTACATTTATATTTTGTGTTGATTTATTTATAAAGAGGGAAAGAAAAAAGGAAAGTGTGAGACGAGACAAGGGGAGGGAATTTGGAGGGTGAGAGAATCATGCTCCGAAAAAATGATGTACTTGTTACTGCAGGTTTGAGCTTGTTTAGCATGTAATTCAATATCCAAGTAGATAGAGTGTTTGGTTTCCACCCATGCGTTTCAAGTTCGAAACTGTCATCTCTTTTAAATTATTATAAGAGTTTCGAATCCTCTCCCTTTCTTTAATAATAATAAATTAAAAAATAGGTTGGAGCTTGTTTAGGCAAACATGATTTTTTTAGAAAATACTAGAGAGAGAGTAACGTCATAATTGCAGAAATATGTGAGGGCATTTGTGACATTTTCTACTGATCATTAAAGTGGTATTTCGTTGTCAAATGATTTGTTAACCAGTACTTAAGCTCCATCGTTCAGTGCAGTGTAATCACAGAAAAATCCAAGGCTGATTTCGTAAGATTAGTAGTGTACCACCTCAGCAAATCTATGCGATTTGGTAGAATCGATCTACGTATTTTTTTTTTTTTTACTCTACCTGCTAATACAAGTCTTTTATTTATGCGTGAGACAAATATTAGTCTCAACGTTCCTTAATATCTCTTGTCGCTCGAGCTAAATTTATATAACTATCGCATAGAGTTCGTTTACATATATTTTTAAAATAATATTGAAAGTGTTTTTAGTGAAATTAGTTTTGAGTTTCAAAAATCCACTTCAATTTTACTAAGGATTGTTTTAAAAAAAATTCACGTAAAACGTTTTCAGTCATTTTAAAAGTACTTTTAAACAAGTTCATGTTGATTAATGTAAGAGTATGTATAATCATTAGACCTAACATGTAAACAACGTACTCTGGTACCATATGCTGCTATTGTGTAAACTATTCACATGCAAACTTGCCCAATACATTCACTTTCTTTATTTGGAACCTAATTGATATTGAGGATAAAAGAACGAAATATAAGAAGTATACGAGCAAATACTCTTAATTTCTTCAGTTACAAAGCCATTATATTTAGGTGTTAGAATCTTGACTTCTATTAATTAGCTAAATAATATGAATACTAATCCCATTCGAACCTAACCTTATTCATGGAAGTATACCAATTAGCTAAATATTAGTAAAAACTTGAAGCAACCCAGAATTATTATCAACAATTAATTGATTTATTAACCATCATTAGCAATTTGGCATTAACACACCACTCACTCATCAAATTTCTATCTCTTCTTAATCAAATGGAAAGCATACACGTGTCACCCAAGTAACATTAGTAACGGTAGCACATCACGGTTTTCAAAGAAAAGCAAAGGTGTTGGTCGGTGTGAACACGTGGAGCACGGAGAGCAGCCAGATCGGATCGGGAACAGTCCGCGTAAGTTGAGTGCGAAATTTTTCCTTGTCACCGAATACAGATAATATAACTTATTTTATATAAGTGGTAGAAAATTTTATTTTTTTAAATCATAAGAAAAAAAAAGGAGAATTTAAAAAAAAAATTGGCCCATATAAAAGAAAAAAAAAAAAGAAAAGGACAATATTGTCGGATAAATCCGACACTAAAGAGGATAATACTGTCCGATATATCCAACATAAAATGTATTAATAATGAAAAATTCAGCCTAGCCCGGGGATGGTTGGATTGGGTTACCCAGTTGATCCTTTGGCCATTTTTTGTTCTGTGGGGTCCACAAGCCATTTGGCCTAGCCCTCAGTTGGAGACAGTTTTCGAGCTATTTTCGGCCATCTGACTTTCTGCCCTCAGTTGAAGATAGTTTTCGAGCTATTTTCGGCCATCTGACTTTCTGAACCTTTCGGTTAGAGATGACCTAACTAGTCCCAGAATCTCCCGTACCGTATAAACTTACGGTCTAACTACCTGTATACGCTCCGAGATTTTTTCACAAAGTTTCTTACAGAGCTCGTGGTTTGTATATATAGTACACCAAGAGTGAACGCTTTCTCTCCGAAGCTACCCTTTGTGAGCTTCTCTACGAGTGCCTCGCCGGAAAAATCACCATTTTCTCCCGACCTTGATCGGAAAACGCACCGGAGTCCGCCGGAAAATTGAACAAGTGAGTTAAGTTTTCATGGAAATGCTTCTTTTACTGCGTAGGGATCTAAGTTTTTGCGGTTTTCGTGTGAGATCTTTTGAGTGGCTTTGGTATGCGCTTTGCGGATCCGATTTTCCTGGAAAATACAATGAGCGGCATGAAAACTTTCGATTTTCCGGGAAAATTTGGGAATTTTCTCACGTGCATGGCTGATATGATTTTTGTTTGTTTTTTACAGGTTGAAGAGTGAGTCGGAAGCAAGAAAGGCAGAGACTTTGCAGATCCGATTAAAAAATACGAAGCTTTATATATACAAAGCTTTTTGCAAATCTATCAATTTTTTTTCACATTTTTCGTTGATCTGAAAAGCAGAGAGAAATGGTAGTGAAAGTTGCTTCGACCTGCTTGCACTGGTCGCAGCCGATCGTTCCTCGCTCGACGCCGTCATCTCAAACCCTAGCCTCCTCAATCGCGTCTCCTTCCTCAAAACGACGTAACAGAGGAGGCGACGGCGACGGCGACGGCGGAGCTCAGTTATGTCTCCACGTCCACAGCTTGAATCGGTCGGCGTTGTTCGGTGCTCCGTCGACGAAGCTAAGCCGGTCCCGGTCCTGCGGCTTCCAGAAGTCGAGATTCCGGTCCATTAGACGAGCTTGCAGTGCCAACCTGGACGCCTTCTCAGACGAAGAGTTCTCAAAGAAGATTCAAGAGCTTGCTCTCCGATTCCAGCTCGCCGACAATTTTGACGGTGAAGATGACCTTAACGTTGACGGAAACGATTCGGATTCGGAACCGGAGGCGGCGAATTCTGATGACAATCACAGCGTCAGTGAGTCTGCAACGGGAATGAGATTTGAACAGAACCAAAGCCAGTTCCAGTTGCCGCTCGATCTAGAGCCACCGTGGCCGAGCGATTGGCAGCGGAGGGGCGAGATTGTCCCGGAGGCGAGCATCGAGTGGAAGGCAAACAGCTTCGACCTTCCGCTCTCGCTCCGAATCATCAAGCGGAAGATGCAGTGGCAGGATGGTTTCCTAGAAGCAGGGGAATCCGCGTGCTGCTCTGTAAAAAAGGCCTTCTCTTCGCTGGTGTTCATAATCCGAGAGCTCCATAGCTACTCCTTGCAGATGAGAGAGATTCTGTTCTACGAAGATTTGCAGGGGATTTTGAGCAGGGTGCAGAAGGAGATGCAAGCTTCGTTCGTCTGGCTATTTCAACAGGTCTTCTCCCAGACGCCGACTCTAATGGTGTATGTAATGATCCTCTTGGCGAATTTTACTGTCTACTCATTAGGCCACAACGCCGCCATTGCGACCGCTCCGCCCGCCGGGTTGTATGCCAGTGCAACCGAGACTATTTCAGTGGAAGAAGTTCAGACTCAGAACGATAAATTGGATAACCCCCAATTTGATTCTTCCACAAGTAAGTCGTTTTCAGTGACCGGCAACGGCAAGACGACATCCGTAGGCGGGAACAATGGCGGTGGAGGGAAGGTCCGACCGGTAGGAAGCGGCACAGACGGTGATGGCCGGTTTGACCGGACGGACCAGTACCGGACAATAGTCCCCGACGGGGCTTCCCAATTGTCCTCATTAGGGACAACCAGAGAAGCAGAGTCGGTTTCGGGGCAAGAGAGCAGGGAGGAGGAGCTGGCTCTGTGGAATTCAGTAGCCGAAGAAGCTCATCAAATGCGGGGCGTAGAAGAATCTCTGGATCACGAAACGATGCAGAGATTTGTTTCGCCGGTGACGGCGAATATCGAGGCCGACGACTACGCCGAGTACATCAGAACTGAGCTTCTTTACCAAAGGGAACTGTCCAAGGAACCTAGCAATGCTCTGCTTCTTGCTAATTACGCGCAGTTCCTCTACCGAGTTGCTCATGATTACGACAGGTACTGTTCCATTTCATCAAAACTCTCATAGTTTTAGTGCTTAATTCTAATTTTCATGTCTAACAAATTGACTTCTCTTAGTTTAGTTAGTTTTAATGTTCACGTCCATAAATTTGTTGGGTGATTAATATTAATATCATGGTACGAACTAAAATTTACGTGCATGCGGTCTTTACGGATTCTCTGTAACCGTTTAACATTAATTTTCGTACTAATATTATAAAATATGTTGTTAAAAACATATAGCGAGTTCTTCTTTTAAAAGAGTTTCCGTACTATTTCTGTTGTTACGATTGTGTTGAGTTCAAATCCGATGGACGGTAATTTACCTTTTTTCTTTTCTTTTCATTTGTCGTGGTGTTTAAATTTGGTGATGGTATGTTAGTGAGATGTGTGGTAGTCTTTTCCTTATTTAGCAAAAATCCTTACAAGTTTGGTCAGCTCACGCGTTTCACATGAAAAATCTTTGCTTTGGGTTCTTAATGATTAATTGATAATTACGTAAATTAGTCTGAGCTTAAAGTACAAAGAGTCGAATACAAGTGTTTTGACTTTTCTTGGTGATTTGTTTAATAAACAGAGCTGAAGAGTACTTCAAGAAGGCAGTAGGGGTGCAACCGCCGGACGCGGAGGCGTACAACAAATACGCGACGTTTCTGTGGAGGGTTCGGAACGACTTGTGGGCGGCAGAGGAGACATTTTTGGAAGCCATTTCGGCTGACCCAAGCAACTCCTTCTACGCCGCCAACTATGCCCATTTTTTGTGGAATACCGGTGGCGAGGATACGTGCTTCCCTCTCAACTCCGCTGAGACTGATGCCACCGAAGATGCTTAGTAAATAAAAGGAAAAAAAACCCCAAACAATAAGAGAAAATAGTATAGAAGAGAAATATGGAACATCGAAGCACATACTTTCATGCAACGGGAAGTTTACTACGACAATATTCTATACCAAATGCATGACAATGCGTATTGAATTTGTCATGTCACATTCCCAATGTATGTAAGTTTCTCTCTACAACAATGTCGATGAGCAGAGCAGCCACCTTCCGTTCATTTCCAATTTTACTCGGAATTTGATATATTCGAAAACTGAAAAAATAAAAAGAAAAAGAGAAGAGAGAAGTACTATTTTATCCTTATTTGTTTTTTCGTTTTATTATTCCTCAAGTTTTGGTGGGCGGTGGCAAAATGGGGTGGTGGCGTTTGGGGCGGAGGGGAAGCACGTGGGCGGGGACGCACTCACATGCGCGGCAGAACGGCAGCAACGATTGCAGTGTGTTTGGCTGATGAGCGGGAAGCGGTCGCGATTGGGGAATACACGGTTTGCTTTTTGCACAGATCATGTCTATTTTGTTAATTGTATATTTTTGGGTTGACACAATCACATGGTAAAAGTGTAATTAGCCACCTTGTTAATATATGTTTATTTTTTTTTAGTACATCGGTATTTTTACATTAGGAAGAAAGGAAGTTCGGTTAAATCACACAATATGTAATCTAATTCGGTATCTAATTCGTCATCCACGAGATTCGAACTTAAAAATTCTCACTTTAAAGTAAAGAATAATAACATCAGATCGTAATATTGACTGATAAAATATGCCATTTTTAAGTTTAAGTGTCAATGAAAGCACGTGTTTCTCGTGCACTTTGTTTACTAGTATCGGCCATTGACCTCCTGCTCCTCCTTTATCTTATGAAGCTCTGGAAAATTCTGCGATTCACTTTAATTTTGTTTAGTGAAAGTGCCTTTTGTCTAAAGAAACAATGCTGCCACAACCCCACGATAAAAGTGGCTAATGATGCATGGGAGAATGAAAAAGAGTCTCCCAATCTTAGGTGAGTGTCAAAACACCCTGAAATGCATAAAATATACGATATATAACTACTTATTACATTATATAATTTGCAGGAGAGATTTTGTTGTTAAATTCAAAACACACTTCTAGTTCTATGTAAGGAATATTCACTGGTGAATTCAGAAATCAAAACTTTGTGAGGTTTCAGTGTTAAATACAAGTTTTTTTTAGATAAAAATAGAGCTCGAGGCGTGTAATTTTTTTTCAGTTTTTACATTGGGGCATTTTGTCAAACACTTAGTGGGTTTATTGTTGTCAGTCAAACTATGTTGCGCATATGTTAACATATACCGACATATGTCGATACAATCTGATGAGTGATAGAGAGAATTTATCGAATATTGTCGACGCAACTTGTCGAGATATGCCTAGCAGATAGTACATCAAACAATTGTTGGGCACAAAAAGAACTCGTATCAAATATTCAAAGGATTCTCGGAAGACCGTTACATATATATTTCTCAAACTTTAAGTGGTATTGGGATCCGCCCTTGAGAATATCCCTACGCACATGTTAATCATGTAATCAGATTTTAAGAGAAATATTAATAAATTCTCAGAATGAAGATTCTACAGGACAACAAATAAACTTTGACGAAAGAATTATGAACACAAAACAAAGCAATGAAGAGTCATCTTGATGATGCATGCATTCATATATAAAGACATGTTTTTTCAAAGTTGATAATATTCTTTGCAAAGATTGGACACATTTGTAGTAGCATATTCTTCTTCTTTGTGAACTTTGGCAGTTTAGAGGGATTTGGACCCTCTCCTGAGCAGAGGGTCCAAATCCTGTTGATCAAGCAATACGGACTGTTGAATCAAAATTCAATGGTTACAAACAGAGCAACCCTCTAAAAATTATAATAATTATAGTCGTTGAATCAAAATCTAACGATCCGTGTTACTTGATCAGCACAATTCGGACCATCTGCTCAAGAGAGGATCCAAATCCAGTTTAGAGGTGCATAAACATCAACGCGTACTGGGAACTGCAAGTCTGCTTTTAGAAAGACAAATATGACTAGACATATATAATATGATAAATGGGAGATATGGTATGGATGCATATAAGAATAAGAAGCAAAATAGGGTGGTTTGGGGATTGGGATTCAACGGCGAAGCTAGGAATTATTTGTTGGGTGGATTAAACTAAAATTATTACTACGAAATCAAATGGTTAAATTTTACACAATAATAAGCCTAAAAGCAATAATTTGAAGTATTATATTAAATGTCTGGTGAGGATCATGAGATTGCTCAGTTGATACTCATGCGATATTATTAGATGCAAAATGTATATACTCTCTAATTTAACACCATCATCTATTTTTCTAAAGAATGAATCAATAGTTCTTAACCTCTTCATTGAAGAGACGTTGACCTAACAAATTGAAAAACAATAAACAAGTTTATATAATAAATTATATTTCTAAGAAATTTATTAGAAAAAAATATATTAAATTTGAAACTGAACTTTTCAAGTACAAACTCTTAAAATTCAAACAATAAACAAATAAACTCATCAAGAATTAAGAATAAAATAGTCAGAAACTTACCTATTGACGAGAAAAATCAATAAACTTTCACAATTGTAGGCACAATCTCTGTGAATTGTACACGAATGTCACCAAAGCTTTCTGAAAAGTGAAAAAAATCGTCTACTGTTATAGCCTTCAAAAGCCGAAAATACAGTCTTAAGAAACGTGTGAGTACTCATTAAAATGAATAAAATAATCTAAGTTAATAATTGCTCCTAAAAACCTAGAACCGTACGTGCTACTTCCGATGAAACCTAAAATAATAAAATACTAAAACCTAGTTTTCAAAACCGTGTGAGTGTGACTACTCCCTAGGAAATCTAAAAATAATAATATATTAAAACCTATAGACTACTCTCTAGCAAACCTAGGAAGAGTGTTCAAAACTTGCACTAAAGTAAACAATTATTTAATATTTTTTAACTCTTTCTTTTTCTAAAAGTAGTCTTACTGTCACCACTTTTACTTATTGGGTGTGTTTGTACCATACTTAGGACCTTCGTATTTAGATCTCGTATAAATACTTGGGGGACTAAAATGTAATTATGTAACAAATGAATGGGCAAATATGTAATAAGTGAGGAGCCCTTATTCTATAAAAGGGCCACCTCACCCTCACAAACCTTAAGCCCTCTCACCCTCACAAAGCTCATCTCTCTCAAGCTCTCATGCTCACAAACAGAGAGCCCTCTCAAACTCTCTCTTTCTCTGGGAGACTCCCCCTCACCCTTGTAATCCATACATACAATTAGAGAAATACAATATCAGTGTGGATGTAGCCCAAACATTGTGGTGAACCACGATACATTTTGTGTTATTTACTTTCTTGCAGATTCACGGGCGGATTTACGTTGTTCCAAAACCCCTCTGGTTTTGTGTATCAACATATGGCGCCGTCTGTGGGAATCGACACGAAAAACTATGTCGGTTCTCTTTCAATTTTTCACCTCCACCGTGAATCTGTAAAATCTACAAAAACCCATAAACGAAAAAGAAACCTATTCCGTGTCTGCCTTCTTTTACTTTGGGGGCAATCTACTCTGCATATTTCAATCACACAAAAAACAAGAAAAACAGCTTCGCCACAGTTCGTCTCGTTCATCGCGCTATATGCTTCATGGAAAGAGAGAAGCAGTGGGCGGAAAGGTTGCCATAAATGAAGCCATGGAATCTCCGATTGCATCTCTCTGCAACTGAAACAACAAGAAAACCACCCTCAAATTTATCTCTCTCTACATCCATCCATGGCGACGATCTAGAGCGTCAAGACTAGGCAGATCTTCGACAGTCGTGGCAATCCCACCGTCGAGAGCTAGAGAATGAAAAACATAGAGACAGAGAGAGAGATCTTGTTGCAGATGGGTTCTGATATCTTGCAAATGGGATTCATTTTCTAGGTTTCTTTTAGTTTCTTGGTTTGTACTGTAAATTCAAATGTGGGGTTTGGAGGAGGAAGTGTGGAAGGTATAGTCCGCATCAATGGCAGAGACACCATTGCCAAAATCGACGATGATTTTATTTGTGCAACTCTTGATTGGTGGCCGCCTGAGAAATACAACTATGGTACATGTAGCTGAGGTTATGCTTCTCTCCGCAGCCAATCGACCTCCATGCCCATCATAAACTGCAAAATGTGCACATTTCAAATTTCCGGGAAAATCCTCGCGACGTCGTCCAAGAGTACAACCCAAGCGTCTTTCATGGCGTGCCTTAGCCCCTTGTCCTCCGCCACATCGGCCTCGATTTCAAAACCTATATCCTTTTTGCTCATATCAACTTCTGGGTCTTGATCTTCTTATGTTTTCAACTTCGATTCAATGTTTGGTGGATCTGCTCATTCGGTTCCAAAGTCATCGTCGACGAATTCGGGGTCCGTTTATGATAAACCCGTTTACGACGACGACATTTTCATTGGCGTTCCGGGGCTGAAGAGCACAGCTGCAAAAGGTTTGGCAAGGTCGAGCCCCAATTGAAAAGCTCAGGCTCTAGAAGATCGGATAAACTGGAGAAAGGCATGCCCGACTTCGATGATTTGCTACCTGGGCTTAGAGGCGGTAATGCTCCTAGTGAAAGACAATTGCCGAATGGATAAAAAAGGCGCCAGAGTATAGTTCTCGTCCGACAATTATTTACGTTAGGGCAAGAAGGTATGAAGAGAATAATTTGAAGGTGGAGAGGAATAAATAAGACCAACTTGATGTTCATCGGTAATGAAAAGGCAAAACCGTAATCAGTGGTGGGAAAAACGTCTCTTAGAACCTGACCACATTCCACACTGCATCCTTCAGGACTATGTGTAAAGAGGAAAAGAGAAGAAAGACAAGTCCATGCCTCCGTCATCTGGAATCTGCAAAGTAAAGTAAAGTAAAGAGAACTTTACTTTACTTTTGTCTGCCATCTGCAAAGTAAAGCAAAATAAAGAACTTTACTTTTCTCATAGAATTCATTTTCACTAAAAATAGAGCCTCTCAGGGCTAATGCACTTGGACCTCAGCAACAGAATAATAAATGCAGTAAAAGAGAGAGGTGCGGTGGAAAAGATAACAACAAAAGCAAAAGAGGGAGGTGCAAGCTGTCACCAATGAGTCATATTCGTTGGTTCAAGCGAGGCAAGCTTCAAAGTTGCAGAGAAAACACAAAAGCAAAAGAAAGGTGCGGTGGAAAAGAGAAAAGCAAAAGCAAGGAATATACACCCCACCAGAATGATGTGATTTACTTTTCTTGTTTTTGAATGATGTGATATTTTTCTTATCTTTCGGAAATATCTGTATAAACTCTATCAGAGAGTAATAAAAAAATAAAAAATAAAAAATAATATAAAAAAAACCACAAGCCCAAAATAATGGGCCGCAATGTTATGTGGAGGGCGAAGACCCATATGCCTAAAAGAGCCAGACCCTTTATTATCACCAACCAGGTGATCAAAAGTATGTCCAGTGCTACAAAAAATTATTCGGCAACCTGCCCCTATTATCACCAACCAAGTGATCAAAAGTATCCCAGTACTTCCAAAATTATTCAGCACCCTACCGCTAT